ATTTCAAACAAAAATATGATTTCAAAAATATTCACATACATTATTCTAATCGCTTTGCTTTGTATTTTTTTATTAAGATATGAAAATCATGTTGGATTTTTGAAATGAAATGCGCAATATTTCTTTTTAAATTTGAATAAAGCATCAAACTTAGCGTAAAAAAAATATTTATGATAATTTAAAATTCACTTTTTGGGATATTTTTAAAATAATTTTATTTCAAATGATATTCAAATTATTATTCATTATAATTAATGCAGTTATTTATTCGAATTATGAAAAACTTTTTCAAATATTTCTGAAGTTATTGCGAATATGTTCTGATAATATTGTTCTCGAATCTTCGAATGTCGTAATTAGCCATAAACTTCATTTTTTAATGTTTCCTAAAGGAAATAATTGAACAGTATTAAATTTGGCATGTAAGCTATATGATATTACTATTATATCCGATCCAGCGGTTTAAAAACATTCTGTTTAATATTTTCATAATTGCCGAGCATTATAAAACAGCTGTTACAGTTTTTTTAAATGTTTTTTTAAATTTGAAATTGTATTTGTAATACAATTTTTTGATAGAAAAATGAAATATATTTAACGATCTATTAATGAAGTATGGTCCAATGATCTGTTAACCAATTATATCAAACTTAATGATCGATTTCATAAAACCAATGAGAATTCTCTTTTAACCAATTATAATGCATAATTTTTAAATTACTTTTCCTTACAGTTTATTTTTAGATTTACTTTTACTTATAATTTATAAATATTACTTCATCAATTTAGAATATCATCAATATAGAAATATACCATTTGTATTTTGAATTTGTTTTGAAAAACTATTCACAAAATTATATGATTCTCAAAATTTTATTCATAAAATTTGTGAAAATGAAAAAAACATATCATATCATGAGATGTAATATGTGGATTATGAATAACAAATGGTAAAATAAGAATAGATAAATATTCTTTGTTTTTTAGTATTTGCATCCATATTTTTATTGAATATATTAGTATATTGAAGGAACAATATTCTTTTACTATTTTATATTTTACAATTTTAAAAAAATAGAAAATGATGATGGTTATTTTCTATTATTAGAGTATTTAATTCGATATAATATCTTAACTCTCGAAATATTTTCATATAAACTATATAAACTATATTGCACTATAAACTATTATCATATTATATTTTTCATTATTATTACAAAGAATAATGGTAATAAACATATTTTTCACGATTTCATTTTCGTTAAATTTTTATACAATTGAATTTATAATATATTTATAAATATTAAAGTATATCATGATAACGATACTTATTATGTAACAAAAATAGTGTTTATAAACACAATGTTATATTATGTTACAAATCGTGTACCGATGCATAGTTTCTAATATAATATTAGTAATTTAAGAATATTTCAGTCAGTATTAATTTTATCATAATATTTTTTTATAATAAATTTGGTGCTGTATTCGAATTAAAAAAATATATATAGTAGGCATTCTTTTTAAAAAATTAAAAATAATTTTCATCTCAATAAAAAAAATAAAGCAAGAACAAAATAAATAAATATTAAAATAATATAGCACTCAAAAAACCATGTTTGAAACATTTTTTGTATAACAAATAATTTAAAAATTATTTAAAATCATCACATTATGAAATTTATCCTATTTAGTATTGTTTTACAATAAATCAAACAACATCTGAATCAAAATAAATATCATTATCCCTATTTCTTTCGCAAAATAAGAAAAACAAGTATCTATGAAAATAAAAAATAATACATTTTTTCATTCATTAGGAATCATTTAGTAACAAAATGAAATAATATATCATTCTGTTCTTTCTATTCTTTTATCATTCTATCATTGTATTCCCTTAAAACTATTCTTCA